ACTGGGGATGTGCCCACAACCAAGGTACATGCCCTTGACCGGAATTGAACCTGGGACCCTTCAGTCTGCAGGCCGACGCTCTATCCACTGAGCCAAACCGGCTCCGGCAATAAAAACACTTTTTTAAAAAAATTCAACCCAGCTCATTTTTAACAGACCAGCAGCACATCCATTTACAGAGTCCTCATTAGTAACACCTAAATATCTACTGAGTAAATGTATATACATAGCAAAGGATTTTTGCAACTTACAAAAACTGTCAACTGTATTTTGTATGTTAAATGTCATCTCTTAAAACAAGAAATAGAAGTTTGCATAAATTGTTTTCTAAATTTGGGGTTTTCGAATTTGCAACATGAAATGTTACCCTAACACTACAAGCAATTCAAAACCTAATCATCTCCAAAAAAACTGGAAAATGGCAGAAGGCACTTACCCTTCATTTAACGTGAGCATATTTACAATGAGTATCTATCACAGTGCCCGGGGAAGCACACAAACAGTGTATAAATAAGAGTTATACACATATGAGTAAGTGCTAAGATGAGAGTGTGTAAGTCATAGGGCATGCATGTCAAGAATGTCAAACCTGCTAATCAAATGCATTTGTTTCTGGACAAATATTATTATCTGTATTCATCTATGTGCATAATTAGCTTAAATATTAGGATACACATTTTAGCAGAACTGGCTAATGAAAAATCAATTTGAGGTCAGATTTTGGGCAGGAGTGGAGGTAAATGAAAAGGTTTCACATACTGTATTTTTCATACTCTTCACCCCTATACCTGTGCCTCCTGGTCACAGACATAGCCATGGTAGTGGCGCCAAGGGAAAAGATGAGTGAAAAACGAGCTATTTGTTACAGCAAAAAAAATTATTAACTTAAAGTGCCGTAATGTTTAAATTTACAGTTTATTACTATGTAAATTACAAGCAGTACTTGGCGTAATTAGCAGCTCGCTAGCAGGGAGCTGTGAATGAAACTCATTATTTATGATTACAATTTAGAAAAAAAGAAGAGGCATGGGGAGGGGGGAAAAGGGAAGCAGAACAGTGACCTCTGCTAGAAATGACAAATATCCCTTTAAGGTGATGAAGATGAATTAAACAAGTAAATATTATTCTATTCATTTGCAATCCTTAGAGACATCCAAAAGGCCCTAGTTTTCTTGCAGGCAAACCTAAGGAAGCCTTCAAGTTGAACTGATTTACTTCCATGGAAGTGAAAGGTACTTATTTTTATAGGAGCTGAAACAAAGTAAGGTAGGTGGTAGGGGGAAACTTTTGTCAAGCTTAACCAATAAAGAGAAAAAGATCAAACCATCACTCGGTTTCCCACTGCCAAGCTCCTGCTTCCCTCCACCCCCATGTACTCACTTATACCCTGATAGCTGTCAAGAATATGCACCCAGAACAACAAAGGCAGCTTTTTATTGTCGGGAAAATGAGTAACCCAAAAGAAGGCATCGTTCTCCCAATAATCAAATGTCTTTCTAATTAAACATTTGAAATTGAATTTAAAGATAAAAAGAATCTAAGTTCATCTGGATTCTCAGAGATGAATACATATAATAAAAACAGCCTCATTTATTTTGTTTGACTAAAATTTCAAAAAAACAATTCCCTGATTAAATTATAAGATAGCAACTCTCTGATGTAAGCCAGACTGTGGCTCTGACTACTATCCTAGTATAACCAGGTTGGCACAGAGCCTGCCACATAGGCATTCTAAATGCTTACTGAGTAAACCAACTAATTAATGCTCTAAAATGCCTCTCCCTTTCTCACTCTTTGCCCACCACCATCTTCTCTGACTGGGTATGAGCCCCAATCTTAACCTATATTCAATCTCAAAGCTAAAGTAAAAAATAATTTTTTTAATTTAAATAAAAAAGAGAAGTAGACCTAGGTTCAACTCTCTACTCTGCCACTTCTATCTGGATAACATCAGACATTACTGAACGTCTTTGAACCCAAGTTTTTCTCACCTGCTAACGGGGAATAGCACCTTTTTTCAAGGTTGTTGAGAGGATTAAATGAAGTGAGTGCCCAGCACAGTCACTGGAAAAGGCAGACCTGAGTAAGTAGAAATTCCTCCCTCACGGCCAGGGGGTTTTGAAATTTGGTAAGTTTTTTTCCAATTTTTTTCTTTTTAATGAATTTTAGAGTAAAAGACCAAAGACAGGACAGAAGAAGCACCCATGAATTCAGGAAGAGTCATAAAGAAGTCAAGAGTGTTTTAACTTACATAATAATCATATAAGATTAATAAAAAAACAGAATAGAGGAAGATCAGGCCTGTAGATTTATAGGCAACAGATACTGTCATAATGACAGTGTTTGCTATCAGAAGTTCTATATGAATTAAACTTCATCCTTTATGTGTTTATCCATCCATATCTACATAACGTTCACTCTATGAACTTGCAAAATATTCCAGTTGGCTTAATTAACTCCAGGGTGTTCTGCAGCACCGTTGATTATCAAGAGGGTACACAAATCCCCAAAGGAATATTATCCTCCCACTGAGCCTGTAAACAGTAAGAGCCATCACCTTCCCAACAAGCCTCCTTCGCCCCTTTCTGAGACATCGAGCAGCTCCAGGCAGACGATTCAAGCGAGAATGGTGCCCTAAAACAAAAAAAAAGGCAGTCCTCAGTAACTGAATGTAGAAGATTCATTAACAATGACATGCTTCTAGGAGACTAGAGTCCTTCTCACCCAGGATCTACTAGATTGACCCTTAAACTAGTATCACCAGGCTATTTGTCAAGGAATTACTATCTCCAAGTCTTTGTCACCAGTAGTGATCTCAGGCAAGTCACTTACCTTTGACCTAGGCATCCACATCTGTAAAAGAGGGCTATCCGCTTGCTCAGTCCTATCTTATAAGGATGTTTGAAACCAAATGAAATAGCACATGGAAGGTACTAATAAACTAAAAAAAAAACTAGACAAATATATGAGGTATTATCAACAATTTATAACTACAAGTTAAATGCTAGTTATTACTCAGAGCCATTCTAATTCATGAAATAATGGTAAAAATAGCATGTATAATCAATCCCATTTTTCTGAATGCTGTGTGTGTTTTACACATAGAAAAGACAACTGGAAGAACCACACCAAAATGTCATCAATGATACTGTCTCTGGGTATGGGATTATAGGCCATTTTTAAGTTCCTTCTTCTTCCTATTCTTGCTTATTTATGTGCATTTTAACTAGTCCATAAAGAACTTTTAGACATGGTCATGGAAATGTTTGATAAACATTAAGGTAGCACACAATGTTCCTCAGGCAGAGAGTACTCTTTATCAAGAACCAATTTCTTTGAGAAGGCCTTTCAACCACCCACATTCATCATAATGAAATGCTACAGGAGTTTACAGCTCTTAGTGAAATTCTGATCACCAACAGATGCTCAACTAATACTTGATAACTGACTGAATTGATTATTAACTACTGAGAATTCTACAATCATAAATTTATAGAGCTAAAAGAAACCTCTGAAACAGTTTTGTTCAATGTTGAGAGAGAATCATTGATCAATATCTTAAATAACCCTAAGACCCCAAGGAAATGAGGTGACTGCCAGTCAGAGAGCTAGACACTCCCAGACAGTATTATCACATTTCCTTCTCCCCATCCTCAGCTCCTTCCACTCTACTCTGCAACATCATTATTGAAGGAAAAGCAAAGGGAAGGAATGTGTATTTGTGCTAAAGCCCACAATAAGAGAATTTTTTAAATTTAAAGAATATTTTTAAATCATCCATTCAAAAAATGCCACTGTGCCCTAGCCAGTTTGGCTCAGTGGATAGAGAGTCAGCCTGCGGACTGAAAGGTCCCGTATTCGATTCTAGTCAAGGGCATATGCCCGGGTTGCAGGTTCAATCCCCTGTAGGGGGCGTGCACGAGGCAGCCGATCAATGATTCTCTCTCATCGTTGATGTTTCTATCTCTCTCTCCCTCTCCACTCCTCTCCTGAAATCAATAAAAACATGTATTTTTTAAAAAGCCACAGTAACTTGTATGTGAATGTTCTTACTGAAATCTGTTCTCTTCTAAGACCCAGTGCTTCAGGCTTCCAGTGAGCACTCAGTAACCCATCAGTCACAGCAGAATAAACAGCCATGACACACTTCCTAAATCTGGCACAAATGGCAACAGCAAGCTGAAGGAATGCCCTGCTTTCCTTCAGGACATTGATTTAGGTAGGAATAAAGAGAACCTCAAGCTTCGAGACCCACGCTTGAATCCTCTAGAAAAATGTCTGGACCAGCTCCAAAATTCAGATAGTTAATACATGCTTAAAGGAAGGAGTGTGTATACCGTTGGATGATTCTCCCCAAAGAGAACCATAAAAGCGTGAAGTATATTTTGGTCTCCTCAGAACTCACCTCGTTGAGCTGGCCGAGAAGGTAAAAGGAATGTGGAGTCTGAAAGTTTATCCAGTCCAGAATCCATTCTTTCTACTTCAGGGCAATGATCAGGAGCCCACTTGGGCAGAAGATTAGGGACAGTGAATCCTGGGACACATTCTCCTTCATAGAACCAATCACTCTGCTCATCATCCCCTAAAGTAAAGAGATCATTTTCATAAGCTGGAACAGTAACATGCTCTATCAAAAACCAAATGGGAGAATAACTTCTCAGTGCTATAGGTTTAAGAATACTTTTAAATAAAGTCAAAGTACAAAAAACTGTTTTGATCCTTCTTCTTGATCCATATTATGATGAAAACTGGGATATCAAACTGGAATGCTTTTAATAGCACAAAAATAAAGCTGCCACTTACTAGTACTGAGCCCTTACACCTACCACGACCCATGCTAAAAATCTGTAAATGTTATTTCTTCCAAACCTTACACTAACTCCAACTTACAAATGAAGCAACTAAAGTCCAAAGAAGTCAAAGGTCAGGTGGTATATGATGAAGCCAGGATTTGAACTCAAAGCCTGACTAACTCCAAAGCCTTTACCACAAAAATAAACTGCCTCCTACCATTCTCAGGGGCATAAATGAACTTTGGGATTCAAAGCCCACAAATGTTTCTCAATTCAAAACTAGCTGTTTCTCAGTAAGAAAGCCACTGCATGAGAGAACATATTTGCCAATGTTATCTCCGATAAGGGTGTAATCTCCAAAATTTACAGGAAACTCATACAACTTAACAAAAGGAAGATAACAATCCAATCAAAAAATGGGCAAAGGACCTAAATAGACACTTTTCGAAAGAGGACATTCAGAAGGCCAAGAGACATATGAAAACATGCTCAAAGTCACTAATCATCCGAAAGATGCAAATCAAAACGACAATGAGGTACCATCTCACACCTGTCAGAACAGCTAGCTACAGGGGTAGGCAAACTTTTTGACTCGAGGGCCACAATGGGTTCTTAAACTGGACCAGAGGGCCGGATACTACACTGCTGTAAGAAAGAAGGCACTCTTACCATTTGCATCAGCATCGATGGACCTGCAGAGCATTATGCTAAGCAAAATAAGCCAGTCGGAGAAAGATAAATATCACATGATCTCACTCATTTGTGGAATATAATGAACATTAACTGATGAACAAAAATAGAGCCAGAGAAATAAAACATTTTAGAATATAGTAGAAGTAATCCTGTTATTTCAGATTTTTAATATCTCCTACAACTTTTATGATATTATACTATGTTAGCACAGTTTTGGAAATATTATTATATTTTGAACCTTTTTTGAAATGTTTATTGCATGTAACATTATATTTAAAATATATCCTATATAATAATAGAGAAACATGGTAATTAACCATAACTTCGCTACCCTTCCCATTGGCTAATCAGCGAGATATGCAAATTAACTGCCAACCAAGATGGTGGCCGGCAGCCAGGCAGCTGATGCGAACAGGAGGCTTGCTTGCTCCAGTGACGGAGGAAGCC